TGGCCCGGGGCCTGCCCACGCCACAGGACAGCGCAGCCCAGCCACCGCGCTGCCCCACAGACACCAGAGTCCAGGCTCCTTGCTTCTGGGGAAAAAGGAAGAACAGGGGGTTGGGAGGCTCAGAGCCACACAGGACCCCACTTCTGCCCACGTCCCACTGGCCAGCATCGGTCACACGAGCTCATGGTTCTGCAGGGGACTGGGGAAGTACACTCTAGCTGAGGACCCCGAGTCCAGGGACACAGGACCTGGCGGACACAGGGCCGCCTTCCCCACAGGGGCCACCAAAACTCAGCTGGCTTCAGGCCTACGGGGATTTCTGAGTAAACACTGGGATGTGTGGAGTCACAGAGAGCTGGAGTTAGGGCAGCGAGCCCTGGCCTCCTCCTCCTCCTCAGGGCAGCGCCTTCAGCCTCACTGAGGCTCTTTGGAACTGGAGTCCATGCCCCACCTTCCTCCTTGGAGCCTTGAGCCCGAGAGTGCAGCCTGGCCTTGAGAGGTCAAGGGCGTCCTCCTCCCAGGCAGTCTGCCCACCTGGTGGCTCGTCCAGGAGAGTCAGTGCCTCCCGCGTGGGCAGAGAGAAAGAGGACAGCCCAGGGTCCCCCAAACCCTCAGGAAGGCCAGGAGTTGTGGCGGGGAGCCTGAGGGTCTGCCCTGCCCACTGTCCTCGCGGGTCTTGGTTCCACATTTCATGTTCCCAGACGGTGGCCCAGCGTGGTGAGGGGGCTGCCGAGCCCACTGACTCTTGCCGAGGGAGACACTCCTGCCGCATGGCCCCTAGAGGCGATTCCTCTGCATCAGGGCACCTCCTTGAGAAGGGGCATCCATGGTGGACGCTCAGCTGAGAGGAGTCCATTTCAGCAGAGGGACAAGTGCAGAGTGACAGAGAACAGACCATGTGGGTTTCAACTTAGAGTGAAGGAAGTTAGGCAAGGGGACAGCTTCCCTGAGATGGCCCAGCCAGAGAGGGAAGTGGGTCCGGGGGGGATAAAAGGGGACGGAAGGGGACAGAAAGAGCCAGGCAATCCCGTGGCATCCTGTCTCCTTTTCAAACAAGGCCCGGGCTTCTGCATTTCACGGAGCTTGCGTTTACCATCCATGATCTGGTGTTTGTCCTGTTACCACCGTGAAAACAATCAAATCCCCCACACTGACAGGCCAGCAATCTCTGGATCTTAGAGTGGCTTTTGATACTGAAAACCTGGAAGCAACCGAAATGGCCACCCAATAGGGACGGTTTGAATGGACACGGCAGCTTCACACTGTGGACCATCCGGCTGTGAAATGGACGGACAGATCTGTAAGCACTGAGGCAACCGTGGGGAGGGGGAAACAAACCGTAGAACTGTGTGCAAGGTCTCATTCTGTTTGAATGTGCGTGTGTGCGTGCGTGTGCGTGTGTGTGTGTGTGTGTGAGTGTGAGCCTGTGAGTGTGAGACCCAGGAACAGGCGCGAGATACACCCGGCTACTGTGGGTGCTGGCTAAGCCTTGGGGCAGGGCTGGGCCAGGGCAGAGGAGGGTCCTCAGTTTCCACTCTAGAAACGGCTGCATCACTTTTCTTTTCTTACAATAATTGGCTGGTGGTTTGGTAATAAAAACGTTTTTAATGTTAGCCTTAAATTTGCCAGAAAATTGAGACTTTTGAAACGGCTCATCCCAAACCCTATGATTTCTCGACCTCACAGGCTACATGGCTCTCTACCAGATTCGCCAACCTATTTTCTATTACATCTGTCAAGTTTCATTTACCTCGGGTGGAAATTGGTTCATTTTTCAAAAATATTTATAAACTTGGCTAGATGACAGAAGTGCCCTTCCTCCACGCAGACCCGGGGGTTTACCCAGGCCCCACGCAGCCCTGTGAGGATGGCCGTCCTCAGCCTTGAATCCCGTCTCCCCAAGAAAAGAGAGCCGTGGGTTCCCATCGCTCTGATTCCAGCACCGAGCACAACGGTCAGACGAAGTGGCCATTAGCTGCCAATTAGATGCACAAGCCAATGAAATAAAAAATCATAATAACTGTGCAAATATGTAACACACACACACACACACACACACACACGTGTATTCATGAAGGGATGGGAGTGCTGTAGTGCAAGATGACAGCTCTTTGCTGTCTGGCTAATGACCAGACAATCCATCGTGTCCATCCTTACAATATGGGTCAGGATGCCTGGTTGTTCTCACGGAACGTCTAAATCAGATGTCTTGAGGAAAGGAGAAATTTATCTGCTCCTAGAACTCGTGAAATCTGAGAGGTAAATTGGTTTCAAGGATGACTGCGGAGGGCTGGGAGTTGAGTTTCAGTCTCAGGTGCCTGCCTTGGGTGAAGTTCTCCTCGCCTGGCCCGGGGAGGGAGGCCCTGATGGGCCAGGCCTGAGCCACCTGACCAGCCCTCGCCCTCCCTGAACTCCGACTGGACTGTGCAGAGGGTGAGGAAGGGGTGGGGCCCCAAGGGAATGATGGCACAGGTACCCCAGGGAGGGGAGGATCCAAGAGAGCAAAGCAGCGCACGCCCGCCTGCCGCAGCTGGGCCTGACGCCACCTGCAGCCCACCCCGCGGCAGCCCACCCTCTGCAGGCTGCAGAGGGCTGAAGGAGCGTGGAGGAGTCATCTCCTTGCTACGCAGCCGTCCTGGAGTCACACTTGTCCCCATTTGCTTCGGGAGCTGTTCCTTTAGGGTTAAGCCACGCCTGGGGTCAGAAAGTAACGTTCTGGTAGAAATGCAGGAATTCCGCATCTCAGGGACTGTCCTTTAAAACAAAAGAAATCAAATGAGAGTCCAGCCCAAGTGTCCAAAGGCTTCCTGAGGTGTTATTCTAAACTGTGGACATTTTTAAAAGATTGTTAACGATCTAAAGACCAAGGAAGAGGAGATGATTAAGTACAAAATATTCACACAATTATAGTTTACACAGCCGTTAGCATGATGTCCAGAATCACGTTGGTGAGTGACATTACGTTTACAATGGTCTCTCAACAGTGGGAAACCATACACACAACTTCTTACTTCTTGTTGTGTGCTTTCAAAAATATGTACGGTTTTTAGGACAAAAATTACGATGTTATAAAGAAACGCGACCTGGGGTGGATGGGATTGTGGCTGGCATGTTCAGAGTCATTTGGGAAGGATTTTTGAAGAGGGCCAATATTGGGTGTCATCGGGTCCAGCCGCAGGATTTATGGCAAAGAGCAAATCCACTCCCACCTGCTTGCCAGCTCAGGCTGAGGTCTGCCAGCTTCAGCCGAGGGCAGATGGTACGACAAGCACCCACTAGAGCTGTCCCTGATCCAGCAGAACCAGGCGGGGCTTGGTGTCGATTCCACTGCACTCAGGGGGACTTTGTGACCTTCAGTGGTGGTAGAATCTGAGGTGAGACCAGAATGTCCCCCTGCAGAGCTGTCGAGGGGCACACCAGCTCCCCCTGGTGGCCGTGCACTTCCTAGGCGAGCCTTGCCAAACCGCCCAGTAGAACCACTTCTTCAGACACTGGGGCAGAAGCTCTTAGTTAAAGGAAACACAACCGTCCAAGGTGCCTGCAGGAACAAGCAGCAAACCAACCTCAAAAGTCCTTTAAAGTTTCAGGGGCGCCAGCACTGAGCTATTAAATCCCCACGCCAGCTCCTGGCTTTGGAAGGAAATCAGAGACCCCCCGCTGCGTTTTTGTGCTTTGCTCCCTGTGGTCCTGGGTAATTGTTGGCTGGCGTAACCGTGGTCTGCGAGGCTGTCAACCTGGCAGGGCTGTTTGTGCTATTGTAAACACCATTTATTTTGTTATTGAACATAGTTCACTAAGACCCTCTGTGTAAGTGATTGAGAAACAAGTCCAAACTGGTTTGAGCAAATAAGGAACATTAATGCCTTAATTACTGAAAAGTCCTTGGGCAAGGCTGGGTTTGGGCAGGACATGATGAGTGGCAGACCCGCCATCGCTGGGGATCGGTCTTGCTCCTAGGTGCCCCTCATTCTCAGGGCCTTTCTGGCCCCGCCCTGCAGTGGTATGAGATGGCTCATCTTTGGCACCAGTTAAACACGCCCAGGTTCACCCACAGGGAAGCTGCGGCTTCCCCCATCATGGGCCACATCTGGGCCTGGACTGGTCAGCATGCCCTGGGATGGGCATGGGCTTTTCTAATCAGGGCTCATTCCGGAAGTTCTCCAGAGACAAAGCAGAGGAAAGCAATCCAACCCAAACCACGTGGGCAGAGAGTCAGTGAGGGTGAGTCCCCAAAGGAAATGTGAGGCACTGCCTTACAGCAGAAGAGCAGTCCGTTGAGTGACCAAGACAGGCAGGTCCCCTGGCAGCAGTTTAAACATGGGCTGTTCAGGGCGACCACTGCGCTCCTCTTCCTGTTAGCTTCCCAGCTCCCGGGTCTCCTGTTTTGAGCATTTAATCATGGAATCCGAATATCTGTCAAATGGCCAAATGGGAATGAAGAGAAGCAGTGGTTACCAGGTGGCTTTATCAGATCGTGGTCTAACATTCTGTGAGAAGTACAGTGTAAGTGACTCTAAACCTCAGTTGGTTTTTTATCTATAAAATGTGAGTGGTAATTGCTGTTTGACATGCCTGTTGGAAAGGGTAGCTCTGATAATTTCCGTGAAGTACAGCAGTCCAACGCCTGGGTGTCAGATCGCCCCGTAAACTTGAGTTCCCGTGCTGCCATCTTTGTCTTGTTCCATGGGCTTGGAGATCTAGAGGTGACTATCAAGGGGAAATGTAGAGCCACACCCAGGAAATGGAACATTCTGGAAAGCATCCAATGTCCCCTTGAACAAGGATAGTGAAAAGGTTCAGTCCCCAGGACCATCTCATCTATGACCTGTTTCTGTGGTTAAACAGCTTTCAAAGGCACATTTACACACAGTCGGTAAAGATGCCATGGCTGATCACAAGGGCCTGCCCTCGACCCAGGAGCCCGGGCAGTGTGCTGGCCGCCTTTCCCAGGCAGTCGCCCATAACTAAATGCCACCTTCTCTGTTGTGTTTGCTTTATAGACTCTGGAAAACCCCAAGTACGAGTTGATCATCGAGGCTCAAGACATGGCAGGGCTGGACGTTGGGTTAACAGGCACGGCCACAGCCACGATCGTAATCGATGACAAAAATGATCACTCGCCAAAGTTCACCAAGAAAGAGGTAAACCCTGCCGACCGCCACCTTTGGGGGTCTCAGCCACGGCCACGGGTCGGTGCTAACTCTGTGCACCACAGCCACTGCTGGCTCCCTGATTGCAAAATGGAAGCACTCCCTCGCGGTGGGCAGGACGGTGTTCTGCTGGAATTCTGTCTTGCATTTTTTATTTTGTGTTTGTGTGACGTTAAAATGCCAGGAAGCTGTGAGAACAAAAGCACTGAATCTTGTTAAAGTCCATAAAAAAATAACTTTTAATGCCAAAGTGCCATTTTCATAGTTTTATGGGTGTTATTTAGCCGTATTATGCGCGTCCCCTTGCGATTTTAGCATAACAAGAACTATCTTTTTTAAGCAAGTACAGATTGAGAGTCCAGATGAACTGCAGCAAGGAGGTAAAGCAGATTTCTCTTGGCGATGACAAGGTGGCCCAGGAACTTATGAATAACAGCCGAGCTAGCTTGTCTGAGAGGGCCGTTATTTATTCTCTCCTCTTATGCTTTTATGATTATGGATCACATGGCATTGCCCGTTTATTCCAGTGGAGCGATGTTTGCAGAAGTCTTGAGAAAATAAGACCACACTCAGGGGCTGACTTTGAGCCCAAACTAGGAAGTCGTTGGCACTAGGCCTCTGACGGGGGCATGTTAAGGTCACGGCTTTTGGGGCGCCCAGGCCAGGGCTGCGGGTTTGACCCCCTTGTCAAAGGCCTAGTGAAGGGAAAGCATGGGGGCCAGACACAGGCTGGGGCTTGGCTCACCCCTGCCCCCGGGGTCTCTCCACCTGGAGACCTCTGAGTGTGGTTTTATTAACTGCTCTTTGCAAGTGAGGGATCTTACTGTTAAGCTCTGGGGATCTACCCAAGGTCACGGGCAGAGCAAGTAGCAGAAACAGGAAGGCAGCCAGCTCTCCAAGACTGCAGCTGTGCTCTGTTCTGCAGCACCGGGCTTCCTCATCCACCCCCAAGGCGTCCCCTGTGTGGACCTGCCCCACTGCCCTCCAGGAATCCAGAGGGGCCTCCTGAGGCCGGACTCCCCTGTAACCTCTGCCCCTCGGCAGCTCTGCATGGCTCATGAGCAGGTAGAAAATTCCCTCTGTCCCAGGGACTCATGGACACTCAGGATCCCAACCTCAAAACAGCCCAGCCCATGGCTGCCTGGGGCTCCAGACCATGACTGTCTGTGGGTGTCCCTAGAGCTGCTAGTGTGGACTGCTCGTTCAGTATTTCCACGTTTCCAAAACTGGTGTTCCAAGAAATTAATCCCCTAAGTTCCACTGTGGAAGATGGAGGTAAAGAGTTGCAGGGGAGAAAAGAATTCGGGGTCAAACAGACATGGGGAACGCCAAATTGAATAGTTAAAAAGATTTACTGCAAAACTCCTAAGCAATCTCAAAATTCTCTGTTTCTCTAAGGTGGTTTCTTAGAGTTCTTCCCCCAGGAACGTGTTTTCCTGGACCACAGCATGTCTTACTGAACTGGTGTTCCGTGGAACCCTATGGAGGGTAGTCATTGCTCTGTAGGATTTCTTGTCTATTTCAAAATACTCACGTAGCATTTAACGTAAATGTGTGCTTAGTAGGGACTGAATGCTGGGACTGAGAGATGGTTTTGTTCTTGTGGTTGACATCACTGAGTTCAAGGAAAGATTTAACATACACCTTAAACTTAAGCAAGAGACACTGAGCATCAAAAGAAAAATGTGCTCACCTGTGGATATCAGCAAAAGCACAAAAAGTTTCTTTGAATGGACACTGGATGAGAAGCCTGGGATCCCTGAAAGGCGGGGCCAATGTCTGAAGTGACAGATGGCTCACTCACAGAGGTGCAGGTGACGGGCTCTCGGATGTGGGATTCCCAAAGGAGTCTTTGCCCAACACTGGTTAAATTAGAGCAGTTCCGCTTCCTAACGGGGTCCCGCAAGGCTGTTGCAGAGGGATGCACACCAGAGCTGCCAGAGGGGCCGAGGTGGCCCAGAGCTGGACCCGGACCCGCTGACTGGCCCTGATGTGCGCCAGCTAGCCGCTCCATGTGCCCCGCCCTCAGCTCTTCACGGGGCCCGTGGCAGAGCCCTGGGCTGCTCCCTGTGAGGTGAATGGCTGATGACGAAAGGTACTTGGGCCGTGCCTGTCACCTGCTGTCCTCTGAAGTGTGTGGGGTGAAGGTGATGATGAGGATGATGTCCAGGTGATCCCAGTGCTGTTCCTGAAGTCCCAAGCATTCTTGTCCAAAGAGCCACCCACTCCACGCTGGAAGGCACTGTGTTCCTCTAACTTGATCTGTGACTCTGCTCAAGCGCGTCAAGGTACACGTGGAGACCTTGGAGTTGTAGGGAGGAAGGACTGCGAGAGGGGAGGCAGTGAGACCATCACTGTGAGATCCAGGGTGAGGCAGGAGCAGGAAGGCCGAGAGCACCTGGGAGAGATGGACCCTGCCCCTGCAGACTCACCCTGGGGCTCAGGATGTGGGCCAGGCAGAGCAGCAGGACCTGGGCACACAGGGGACATGCAGCTGTGACCTTGAGGTGGAAACAGTCATGAGAGATGAAGGTCAGGGTCTGGTGGTTGCAGGATGGAAATGGGGCCATTGGGGTGCAGAGTCCAAGGGGACACTGTCTTATGTGACTCTCCACATTCGGACATCTCGGCAGTCCTCAGGCATGTGTGGTTTGGGGGAATATGCGAGGGTTTTGAAAAGTTCTGGTTGACATAGTGTCCCATTTCCAGGGAAGTACACCCCTTCATCTGTTTCAGAGAACAATTTAAAAGAGGACTTGGGATCGGCTGCAAATAACAGAGACTAGAAATAGCACCGTTTTAAATAAGCTAAAAATTTGCAGGTAGGTGGTTCCAGGCCAGTACAGGGACGCCATGCCATGACCCCCCAGACTCCTCTTATCTCCCTGCTCCGCCTTCCTCCCAGCTGCTTCATGGCACAACAGATTAACTGCAGTGCCAGCTATCACGTCCAACAGCAGGCAGAAAGAAGCAGGGAACAGAGACGGTGACGGAGGACCTGCCTCCTGGGTAAATGTTAGCTAAAGTGCTTCCCAAGAAGCCCAAGTGACTTTTGCTTACACCTTCTTCGCCCCCCTTATCTGTAAAGGAGACTGAGGCATAGCGCTGACCATCTTCCTCTGATGGTGGCCACCTTAACAGTACAGCGGTCGTTTAAGGAAGGAGGCCCCTGAAAGGGGTGGTAAGAAGACATCGAAGTGCAGAGTCAGCTCGTTTACTCCCCCGGGGCTCGTTTACACTGACTGTGAACTTGCTGAGAAGCCAGAACCACCTCCCTCCTGTTCTCAGCTGCATCCCGGTAGACACTCAATAATTCAGTATTTACGGAATGCTTCCTGAAGATAATTTGAACTTGAGAAAAGTGTTACTGGGTATGATGAACCCAGATTGTATTTCAAATTGCTCCTGTTACATGAAATCAATTTTTAGTCGTTGACTTTCATGCAGATTTAGGTTGGAAACCCCGGTTTCCCTCTAGAGACTTCCCCGGGAGTTTTTCCTAACGGCTTGTACTCATGACTTAACTGAATGTGAGTTTGAATTTCCTGGATGAGGCATTTGGAAATGATCTTAGGAATCCAGTTAAAAGGCTCCGGGCCCAGAGATTTAAAAGAGGTGAGGACCGGAGGCCTCTACAGCAGGCTAACTTGTCCACACTTCATTCTAAAGTTATTATTCTTTTTCAGGAAAGACTTCTGATGTGTGCCTAGAACATAATAGATGCCCAACAAAGACCAATTTAATAACTCCTGATTGCACATAAATCTTAGGTCAGGGTTAATCAATTCCCCATTGATTTCTAAAGAATGTGTTTGCAAATGATAATCAGATTTTTAAAAATGAGAACTGAGCATTTTCTTCCTTTATTCAATAAATCTCATTTCCAAATTGTACCTTAAAATGGCAATCGGTAATTTAGACCTAAGAACATAGGACTGTATTTTTGGCAATGTGATGAGTTCTCTCCGAGGTAGATGTTTTGGCGTTACACCATGATGTGTGTAATAAAAGTGGCATCAACTTCGAGGGCCTGTCCAGCTAGAGAGGGCGTCTTGGGCAGATGCCCCCATTTTTACAAAGGGCTGAAGGCTGTGGTGCAGGCCGACCCTGGTGAGCTGAACGGGAGCCCCGCAGATACCAGGTTAGGCCGCCAGGTGACGGCCGAGCCTGCTCTCCCTGTCCAAGGCCAGAGGGGCTCTTTCAGGACATAAGACACCCAAGAGTCTTATTTTTGTTTGAGGCATTAGCTTTTATTAGTAAAAATGTTTTATTAGTTAACTGCCGAAGGATGTCCTGCAATTCTTTTTCTCATAAATGCTTAGCTGCAAACTCTCTGGTGCTTCTTCATATCCTGGTGACGTAGTGTTTTATCTATAGAAATGTGAGAACTAAAGGTCTGGTCCTTCCTCTAACAGGGTTGATAGAAATCTGACCTGCACTATTGAGTGGGTGGTATTTGGTTTTGAGTTGTTTTTTTTCTCACCTGCAGAACACATTTCATCATTGGAGAACTTTGTGTTAGTGTTGAGGATTGTTGTTAAATTTGAGAAAATCTATCAACTCTGTTTTATGTACAGATGTGTGTGTGTGTGTGTGTGTGTGTGTGACAGACAGGTCTGTGCTATACAATTTCAGATTCTTGTGTAATGACTGATCTTTAAATTGATAATGCTGCTAACCAGGTCGCCAGCCAGGTCCTTGTCTGTGGCACATGATGAGTATTATGTTCTCTTTATCCGTGTCAGGACAGCGGGTAGAACGGGCAAGAATTCTAAATCCTTTTCCAATGTGTTCACTATGATTCACTCTTCTTCATTCATAGATTTAGCCAACAATGAAAGAGCCATTTTATTTCTTAGTTTAGAAATCTACTCTTCCTCTTAATGAACTGTCTGAGGTAGGGTGGCACTACTTATTTCAGTCCCTTGTCACTTTGCATTGGGTTCCACTGAGGTTTTGTTAAGACCTGCTTTACCGAGGTGTGATTCACC